TATTTGTTGTTAGGAGCAAATTTTCAAGTATGTAAGATTCTACATATACTGCTATGACCTTATCCAGATACTGAAAGATTTTGTGGATCAATCATCACTATGAGTAGATCTGCTTAAAGGAAAGGTAGAGGTAAAGGTTTCCCTTGCTCAAAAGCCCTTCTCTGTTTCCAAGCCAAAGAGCCAGAGCTGTCTGAAGACATTTCCGTGGCCATGTGGCTGGCATGACTAAACACTGAGGTGCACGGAACACTGTTACTTTCCCACCGAAGTCGTACCTATTTATCTACTTGCAATTTCTTGCTTTCAAACTGCTAGGTTGGCAGGAGCTGTGGCCAGAGACGAGAGCTAACTCCGTCACACGGCACTAGGATCTCGAACTGCCGAACTACAGACCTTCCGGTTTGCAGCTCAGCATAACCTAGGATGACACTATTAAGCCACTTATACAGATACATACAACACTGCTCTATTTGTCAACATTATGTAATGTTTTTAGTTATGAATTGCCAAACAGCAATCCTATTATTATCCTTGTGATAGCTTACAAATAAACAAATATAACAATGGAGTGATAGTATGGAAACTGTCACAAGATTGTGAAATGTTAGATAGTCCAGGGCTGCTTTCATAGTTACCCAGAATGTGCAATATAGAACTTTTTATGAGTCTGAACTATGTACTGCAACCAAAATTCATTTATAGCAATACAGAGAAGGATCTGCAAGATATTACAGCAGGAAAAAATCAAATGCATATTATAGGATGGGGGAGACTTGTCTTGACAGTAGTATGTGCAAAAAGGATCTAGGGGTCTTAGTAGACCATACACTGAACATGAGTCAGCAGTGTGATGCAGTAGCTAAAAAGGCAAATGCGATTTTGGGCTGTAACAACAGAAGTATAGTGTCCAGATCATGTGAAGTGATAGTATCGCTTTACTCTGCTCTGGTTAGACCTCACCTAGAGTATTGTGTTCAGTTTGGGGCACCACCATTTAGGAAGGATATAGGCAAGCTGGAACATGTCCAGAGGAGGGCAAAGAAGATGGTGAGGGGTCTGAAGACCAAGTCCTATGAGGAAAGGTTGAAGGAGTTGGGTATGTTTGGCCTGGGGAGGAGACAACTGAGAGGTGATATGATAACCATCTTCAAGTACTTGAAGGGCTGTCATCTAGAGGATGATGTGGAATTGTTTTCTGTTACACCAGAATGTTGGACCAGAACCAATAGGCTGAAATTGAATCAAAAGTGTTTTTGGGTAAACATTAGCAAGAACTTCCTGACAGTTAGAGCAGTTCCTCCGTGGATCAGGCTTCCTCGGGAGGTGATGAGCTCTTCTTCTTTGGAGGTTTTTAAACAGAGGCTAGATGGCCATCTGACAGCAATGCTGATTCTGTGAACTTAGGCAGTTCATGAGAGGGAGGGCAGGAAGGGTTGCATCAGTGCTTAGTTCTTGTGGCCTTTTATTACATGTCCAGGGAAATGTTGATCACCACTTTGGGGTCAGGAAGCAATTTTTCTCCAGGCCAGTTTGGCTGGGGATCCTGAAGGTTTTTTGTCATCTTCTGGGCATGGAACAGGGGTCACTGGGTGTGGGGGGAGCATAATTTGTGAATTTCCTGCATTGTGCAGGGGGTTGAACTAGATGACCCTGGAGGTCCATTCCAATGCTATGATTCTATGAAATAGGGAGAAACATTTTTCCAACTGTTTCTCTCCTTCCTTTGCCACAATGTCTTGGGGTGAATTCATTTCAAAGGGTGGGTCAAGTAGGAAGGCTTTTCATCTCTGTCTTATATTTTTAATCTAAAACTCAGCTAACCACTATTAGAATGAAAAGACAATAGCACATCTTCCCCATAGCATTAGAATTTCAGGAACTGCGGGAGACGAATGATAAAAAGTATGTTCTGCCCAGCAGTGTTCCCTCTAAGCTGAATTAGTGTGAGCTAGCTCTGTTTTTTAGCCTCTGGCTCACACATTTTTGTCTTACCTCAGGAAGGATGGCTCCAGAGCAAACTAATTTATGTAGTAGCCAAATTGCTTACTCACAACTTTAATGCCAGTAGCTCACAAAGTAGAATTTTTGCTCACAAGACTCCAAAGCTTAGAGGGAGCATTGCTGCCCAGCCCTAGTCTCCTATATATATGCTTAGTCACCTGGGACTGAATTTGGAAATACTGTAGATATTCCAAGGCTATATGAAAACATGAAAATACCCAAGCACAGTTATCAGGCAACTAATGATCAACTTGCAGCACAAAAAAACTGAATTTCCATGGGATGATCTGCTACCATATCCCTCAAGCTATAGCCATAACTGGATTTCCTCCAAGAGCAGAATATATCAAATAAATTATCTCATTCATAAAAATCTACAACATACATGCATATAACAGCTGAGCCAAACAAATACAGCATTAAATGCAGGCTTCGCATGCTTTACTGTATACTTTGTTAAAAGCAAATGTACTTTTTATGTTTCTTGCTGTTCCCCATTAATGGTACACTGGAGAATGTTAGCTAATACCATGCAAGCACATGAAAATGTAAGCATTAACTATTAGGTTTTGCATTCTTTGTTCAAGAGGTTTTAAAAAAGAAATTAAAAGTTCACTGCAGGGGAGACCAGCTTTGAATTGCATAATTAAACTACTGTTTACTTGTATTTGGTCATGATCTTAAAATTGTTTTCATTTTTTCCCATATGCATATCAAAGCTTTATTCAAAACATCTGGGATTTTTATGATGATGGATGCTGGCAATGTGAGAGTCCAAAATGTATGAAGTGTTCATTGCTTGAGTAAATAAAAATCTGTTTGTTTATGTCCCTTTCATTCCCTAAGGGATGTGAAAACATTAGATTTTTTTTAAAAAAATAAAATACTATTTCTGTCCTGTGTGATCTAAACAAACACTTCATGTGTGCAATAAACATCTGTGCTCATGAGCTGAACAACTGTTGGCAATGTTCTTGTTTTTAAGCTATAGAGAAGTGGTATCTCAATGATAAATGACTGTGAAAGGAGAATAAGGGTACAAAAGCCATTTTGGTTCAGAAGCTTCCTTCAGGACCAACCTTAGGGGGGAAATTATTGGTTGGACACACTCATGTCACAGTCTTTCAAACTATTTATCCCCAAGAACAGCAGAAGAAATACTCCTCAGACAGATCCAAGAATGAAGAATATCTATATTATTTTTAAACTGACAGTGCAAAATACTAGTTCCTAGGTATTTTAGTTCATTACTGATTTATAACCCATACTGAATAATACTTCTCTCTTTCAGGCCATGGTTGGTACGTCTGTCCTTGCTCATAGATGAACCCTTAATTTAAACAGATGAATAGGTCACCTAACAGAGATGCAAGTCCAGAGCCAGACACTGCAACAAATCCAGATGCGAACTCTAGAGCTAACATTACATAGTAGTTACAGTAACGAACTAGGACTCAAATTCAAATTTACACTCACCAGTGAAGCTCATTGGGATACCTTGGGCCAGCCTAACCTGCCTCACAAGACTGCTGTGTAGATAAAATACCCAATACTATGAGTTCTTTGTAGGAAGGTCAGGATTAAAATGTTGGAAATATAAAACTCTACCTCTATCCATTCAAGCAAAGTTATTATAGGAGCAAGCATCATTGGCTATACCATTCATTTTTTCCAATGTAATATACACTATCACATGCCAACAACATCTTTGGGCAGTCTGCATAGGTCAGACAAGTCAGTCTCTAAGCAAAATATACAAATTGCATATAGAAAATGGCAACAGTCAGAAACTGGGCATGAACATTTCAGTTTCAGGACACTTGGCTACAGGCCTGGAAACAACAATAATTTAACAAAAGCACTTCATTAGTCTGTAATCTAGATAAAGGTCTTCACATTGCTTATCCTGTATACTTGAGATTCGTGTAGAAATATCACAGATGGTACACCTTGCATATCATTGCCACAGTTCACAGTTCTATCTATTATTTATTTATTCGACTTTTAGCCACTGCTCACCAAAAGGGTCTCGTAGCAACTTACAACATTAAAACTATATGCATAAGTGAAAAACAACATAAAAGCAGATAATATAAAATATTAACATTAAAATGTTAAACTAATAAAATATGTGGATAGCATCATACCACTAACAAAAACAACCCAAACATGTGGTTTACACTCCAAAGGCCAACCTAAACTATCACCCTTGCATGCCCTGCAGAAACTAAGCAAGCCCGGCAGAGCACAGGTGTCATCAGAGTGTATTTCACAGGACAGGAGCCATAACTGAGAAGACCCTTCCCCTGGTGACAGCTAACTGAGACATCTTGGGTCCGAGCACCTGCAAGAGGCTCCTAGAGAAAGACTGAAGGGAGCGTGGGGGATTGTATCTATCTCCGTGTGTGTGTGTATACACACAGACACATGAACTGAGAAGAAATTATGCATCTGATGAACATGGCACTAGTTGACAAAAACGAGGGTTACCAGATGTCCTCTTTTTAGAGGACATGTCCTCTTTTTTGTATGTCCATCCTCTTTTGGGCTCTTTTTAAAAGACATGAAAATGTCCTCTTTTGGGTTGGAAGGTTAGGAATATTCCTAGTTAGTAGCAATTATCACAGTTTAAATAGTTGGGGTATTTAAAATGAGATTTGTCTTAGTGATCACTTGTTTGAAGTAGCCAGTTGGGAAATCTGTCCTCATTTTTGCTCTTTTTTGCTCTTCAAAATATGGTAACCCTACAAAACCTTATGTTAGAAGGTACCGAAAAATTCTCCTCCCCCTCTGTTTTCACACAATCCCCCTCTTTTTACACACATGTGAAGTGAGAACAAAACTATGCATCTGGTGAACTAGGCACTAGGTACCAAAAAATTCTCCTCCCCCTCTTTACTCCCAAAATGTGTGACATTTCCACAATATGGACATGAACTTTTCAAATTCTTCCAATGATAAACTGTATACTAGAACAGAAATTAGACACTATTACTCACCAGTTTTAACCTCTGCAAAGGTATCCTGCTTGTGTCTATTGGTGTTCTTTCTGTGACATTACCAAATCTGACTTCTGGGATAGCAATTGCACACATGACATGAGCCCACCTGCAAAAAGCAGCAACACAGACAAAGGAAAGAAATGCAAGCATTAATGAATTTGAAGCAAAAGAAACCCATCATCATATGATCATCTTCCCAATGCACTTCTTAGGCCACATCAACACTGACAAAAATAGTATTATGTTTCAGTGATTGAAATAAGATCTTTTTTCTGACATTAGTCACCGGAAAAGTAACCGCAGGGGGTTTGCCTCACATTCAGTTTGCTGGATCATAATGACGTCAGCAGAGAAATCTGCTTTTATTGTCCAGTTTGATCTGAAACTTAACCAAACAGCCCATTTACTCCTATCCCCATCTTCACATCACCCTACCTAACAGCAGCAAGGAATAATTACTGGCTCATCTCAGTTTCCCCCACAGCCCTACTAGGTTTACATCCAAAACCCAGAGAAGAACAGAAGGATTTTATTTGCAGAAGTAATACTGTACTTTGCTATTGACTCAGATAATATTTTTTTTAATCTTTCAACTGAGACATAAAAACTTAAAACATTGTGTTGTATTAAATTCTGCCACACTAGATGGCTTTTGTAACAATTCTATGCATATATTTTTTCAAACGGATAACAAATTATATCAAAAGGGTGCCATGGGCGGGGACTAAAGATGGATTACAAAATATAAAAAGCAATTCAATCAGACAGCATGAGAAATTCAAAAAAGAATGCAGTGGGAAGGATGAGATGGTTGGACAGTGTCATCGATGCAACGAACATGAAACTGAGCAAACTTCAGAGGGCAGCGGAAGACAGGAGAGCCTGGCGGGATCTAGTCCATGGGGTCGCGAAGAGTCGGACTCGACTGTGCGACTGAACAACAACAACAACAACAATGAGCTTTCATAAGTGATTGTTCACTTCTTCAGATAAGGTGCTCCTGGACTCTTACTCTTTTCTACCGCTACAGAAAGACTAACATGGCTATCCATCTACATCTATCTCCATTGAATTAGAATTACAGAACTGGAAAACAATGCAAATAAAAAACTGTCTAAGAAAGGGGCGTCAAATTCATTTATGAGGGCCGGATCTGACATGAATGGGACTTTGTCGGGCCAGGCCATGTGTGTCATAGAATGTCATGCCAGGTAGCGAAGATATTAACTTTATAAAAGACACCGACAAACACAAAGGGTTGTTTTTTTTAACCTAAAATACAAACATGCTTAAATCAGTCACACTCTTGCCACATTTTGTTTATTTAACAGTCTTTGATAACTGACACCTCCCAAACCTCCCCCTCCCACCCTTAAAAATGCCTACCTAAAATAGAAAGACGGGGGGGGGGGTTAGTGGGATTTGACAATGCAACTTTTAAAATAAAACATCAAGAAAAAGAACAAGGATCACAGCAGAAACTAAAAATAAAAACTGAAAATATAAAATTTTCTGAGCCTAGAAAATCGTGAAATGGCTCGGCATTGCAAGCTCCCCTCCCAGGTCTACTCAGAGTGGCAGTGGCTCTCCAGTGTAATGTCCCCCTTTAGCTGTAGGTTCCCAGGTTAGAGTACTCACCCGTTCTCAGGTCCATTCACAGAGACAAGCTGGCTCAAAACATCAGCCCTTTATTTGTAAGGAGACAAATTCAGCTGGCAAACAAACAATGGAAACTGAAACTACTTGAGCTCCACTTCATTGAAATACATTGCAGCTCAAAAAAAGTTGCAAAGAAAATGCAGAATGGATTTTCTTTTAAGGTCTCTGGGCCCAGATAAACTACTCTGGGACTGGAATGACAGTCACCAGAGTGGAATTCTATTCCCAGAACACAGCTGCTACACCCAGAGGCCATCATTCCACTCGGGGGGCTGTCATTCCAGTCCCAGAGTAGTTTATCTGGGCCCAGAGACCTTAAAAGAAAATCCATTCTGCATTTTCTTTGCAACCTTTTTTTGTGGTTTAGCCCAGAAGGGCTTCCTGCTGGAGAAGAAACTAGTGAAGACAACGCCCAGGCCAGCTGGGAAGCTCAGCAGCCCCGATCTCCCTTGGAAGGGTAAGGACAGGGAAGGGGAGCGGTGGACAACTTGTGATTCCCTCACTTTGAATGTATTCCACCTGCCATGTACAGCAGCCCTTGAAAGGACTTGTAAAGCTGTATTGCTTGACACTGGAAAAGGATAGGCTGTCAACCACCCTCTGGGCCCATAACACACTGTGAGAAAGCTGTATCCATTTTGACGTGTTACACATTGTGCAAGCCTTCCCCAGAACCTGCCAGGAACAATTCAAGGTGCTGGCTTTGCCTCATACCTCAGGGACCACCCTGCTGTTGAATGTGCCTGCCCTCTCATTGAGCTCATCATGTGTACCGATAATGGCACACATAATCATTCTTGCTAGCCACCACAAATTTTTGCAACTCCCAATCCCACAAATTGTGTCTGACTCCACCACACACACACCAGATCTGCAGGCTCTTCAAAGACAGTTGAACACATTTTAGAAGGTCCCATTACACTAGCTGTGGATTATTGTTATTCACTTTTCAGTTCTTGTTTTCACAATTCTACAACTGTATTTATATTGTACAAAGTGTAAGACCCCTACTGTACATCTCAAACTGGAAAGAAAGCTTAGTGGTTACCTAAGGAAATCATATACAGCCCAGTCACATCCACACTAAGTTTGTCTGACCAGAACAAGTTGTGCATCCAGTGGACCTAAACATCTTCCAGCCACTGTAGGCTAGGGTTGCCAAACCCCCTGGTTTGCCAGAGGTCCCCTGTTTTTTGGGGGGGGTTCTACCCGCCCCCAACACCCACAGCCACCCCTCTCCCTTCTCTCTTGAGAGAGAGGAGTGGCTGCCTTTAAGTGCATGAAGCCCAGTTTCCTCCCAAGCCTGATCTCCGCTTGAGATCAGGCTTGCAGGGAAATGCCAGCTCATGAACTTAAAAGGGAAACAACAGCTCTTTGCTCTTAAAGGGGAAACGCCAGCTCCATGCACTTAAAAGGGAAACGCCAGCTCCTTTAAGTGCAGGGAACTGGCGTTTCTGGAGATCGGGCGCGCAGGCAGGCGGCGGACGTCCCCAACGTGACGTCATCACATCGGGGATGCCCCGCCCCCTCCAGGAACGCCCCCAAAGTCCCCCGCTGGGGGCAGAAGATGGACTTGGCAACCCTACTGTAGGCCCATTCTGCATCTAGCATTTGCTCCGCTGTTTTACCAAACCCACGTTGGAACAGAAATTCCACTCTACATTGCATGCCATGTTCACTTTCTTTGATTGTTGGATTTTATTGAACCCTCCTCACTGCATACCGGTTTCACTTCCTTTGATCTCTCAGTTTTATGATACTGTCTGCATAGATTTATGGCCGTTTTATAGCTGTTCAGGGGTGACTCTGCAGTCAGTATGGCGTTGGCCCGGAGTATTTGAATGTGGTTTTGAGCCACATCTTTTTCTGTTCCAGTGTGGAACAGGACAACGGAGCGAATGCTAGATGCAGAATGGGCCTGAGTTTTAAGAAGGGCTTGTAAAAGAAATCCGTCATGTAAATTGGAGGAAGGTTACTGTTTGAAGTATACCAATACAAATCTCCCTTGGTGTGTGACTCTACTAACACAGCACTTTGCAAGCAATCTTAGATTTATAAGTACACAGTAGTTTTTAAACTATTTGGCAAAAAAAAAATCTACCCCAATATAGATGAAATAATTTGATTAGGTTCCATAGGGCCACATACAGAACATTCTGTATATGCAAGAGCTTCCCCACATAATAATAAGTAGAATATTATCCGTAGGATAACAGAAACTATTGTTCCCTTGAAGGAACTATTGTAGGAACTATTGTTCCCTTGAAATCCACTCCTAACAATCTGGGAGCCTACCAGCACAAACTTCAATATGGCATGAAGGGATGCAACCAGAATTAAAACTGCTATTCCACTCCTAGGCATGAGCCCAAAGTTTCCTGTTTGTGCACAGAAGAGTGGGATTCCGGCCACTGGTGATAATAAAACCTGTAAAATACTTATTCAAGGGTCCTTTTTTAAAAAGTGTATTTTACATTAATCTGCAAACATAACTTGTATTCAGATACAAAAATTTTCAGAAATCCCGATATTTTTCGAGTCCAGTAGGCCCAAGAAGAAAAATACTGGTTTAAAAAAAAAAAAAGCCAGCACAAAGCTGGGCCAGCAGGGAACAATCTGCTCCCCATGTGCACAGGAGATCCTAGCTGGGCTCACTTCTCCTGCAGCCCGGTTTACAAGCCCCAGGAGCCGCTGGGAGCAATGTGCTCTGTTGTTGTTCAGTTGCACAGTCGAGTCCGACTCTTCGCGACCCCGTGGACCAGATCCCATGTGCAGCACTGGAGATCCTGGCTGGCTCGCTTTTACTGCAGCCCAGTTTAAAGGGTCTGCAGTAGAAGCCTGACAAACAGCTGAGTTGCTCCTGCCTTTCTGCTGTTTTCAGACTGGTAATTCCTAGATATAGCTGGGATTTTTTCAGGATTTTATTTTTTTTCTGTTTCCCAAGAAAACCCAGCTACATTTGACATGCTGAAAGCCACCCGAGAAATACCAGTAAGGTATTTTTGGTAAATGTTTGGCTTGGGTAGATCCGAATGTATACCCCTATAGCAAACATATGATGAACTGCCCAGGGATAGCATTTTTTTACAGCACTGAAATTTATAATCCTTGTGTTTTGAAGATGCAGCAGAGCCTACTCCAGCCTGGTGACCACAGTGACCTCAATTGGAACCCTAATTACTGCACCTGATACAGCCTCCCGTCATCTTCCTCGGGTGTGTAGGCAGAAGCTGTGGATCCTATGTATTAAGATCTGCAACTTAGCCTCTACAGGAGGTTGTGACTCTGTGTAAGGTCAGATCTATGGTTATCTAGAACAAGAATTTTTGTGGCCATTCTGTGTCTTTGAAAATCCATCCTCTTGGAAAAGTTCCAACTAACCTTTATGTCACATGAAGACATTTTGAGTCTATTTGGGATTCAGCTTAATTTTTTTAAGCTTTAAAG